TCTGTGAACAGTAAACAGCCATCAGTGTGCTAATGATCCATTGTTAGGCTGATGGTCCTTCTTGAGCATGTGATCAGCTGGTTTTGGTTGTCAGCAGCAAAACTGGTTGATCCACTCTGAGACGGTGCTATTTAAGAGACTGAGCTGAATACAGCTCCTCAGACTGAGGAAGTCTCTCGGATGAGAGACGAAACGTTTCTACATTTTTTTGTTGATTTGCTTTGTTTTGTTTTTTTGAATGTCCAGAGGACCAGATTTAACTTTTTTAGATGAATTGAATAAGATTAGGAATGTGATCATCAGAGGTACAGCACATGTTGAGCAACTGGGAGATAAAGTTAGAGATGTCAGACTGGGATGGTTTGGGCATGTTCTGGGGGGAGGTACAGTGGGTATTTTCATTCATTCATTCAACCTTTATTTAAACATATAAGTCACACTGAGCCTTGAAGACTCATTTACAAGTGAGACCTGTTTGGACAGACAATTAAAAGTGGTGAAAAATAACACATAGGGTTTGGAGACTTTAAACTCTGGTTGAAGGGCAACAGCATGATAATGAAAAAAAATCTCACACACTAGCACATAATGACGCCAACATTACGCCGGGGGGTGGGGATGCAAGGGCGGTAAGCATGTCCAGAGACAACACATAGAGGCAATGCAGAGTTCAGGTAAAATCACTCAGTTCAAATACTTCCCTCTGGAGAGATCTGTACACACTCGGGAGTTTCTGAGGACGGCCAAGGACTAATCCAAAGAGTCCTGAAATGATGACAACTGGGCCCCTCTGAAAAGTCCATGGAAATTCCTCAGAAGGGAGGGAGGGGCAGGGCTTCAGTTTTACAAAACTTTCAGGTGGGTTGAGATAAGATTGCCTGGGACAGGCAGAACTTTAATGACATCTACGTTGAGTCTGTGTCAGTCCACTCAGTTCCAAAATGTCCAAATTAAATGGCCACACTAATGGACCGTGCCTGAGAATAATCCCTGAGATCTGATACATCCTGCCAAAAGCATTTGAGTCTGGGTGCTCAAGATAGATGGATGCTGTTAGAGAGGACATGGAGGTAGTTGGAGTGAGGACAGAGGATGCAGAGGACAGAGCGAGATGGAGGAGGATGACCCACGGTGGCCATCCCTGAAGAGGAAAAAGCCAAAAGAAGAAGGAGGTTAGTGGGTGGGGTTTAGATTCAGGTGTGCTCAATAGTCTGGAAATTACAGTACAAGACAACATAAAGAACCTGTTCAGACAGTGTAAAAAGAGCAAAGAATGTCTCGTTACCTTGACAGCCAGTTGGGTTCTCGTGCCTCAGGCCAAAGAAGCCCTGTCTGCATCTATCGCAGCGCTGACCTTCCACGTTTTCTTTGCAGAAGCATTGTCCACTCAATGCATTACAAAGACCGCCACTAAGAGAACCAGCCGGGTTGCAGTCGCATGCTGAAACATCATCAATACAACATCATATTCAAACACAGGAACAGCTGTTAGGTCATCATGATGCCATACTGCTGAAATATGAAAAACACTAGTGACCTATGGATCTGTGATGCATCTCTGAGTTATGGGCCCAAAGCCCATCCTGACCCGACCCAAATGTGGGGCAGGCCAGACCATAATTATGTGCTGGATGGACAGGCCGGTTCGGTGTCGGGCTTTTGATTGTGTCACGGGAGCAGCCGCGATCCAATTATATGGCAACATGGCTTGCCATAAAATCCAATTATATGACAACATGGCTTGCCATACTTCACCAGCCACATGCAGCCATTTCACTGCAAACTGACTGGACTTGAAAGATGTAAAATAAAGTTCAGTTAAGCTTCAGATGGGACTATACTGCCAGGCAGTGATCCATCACTCAAATGGACATTCATTCAGCCACTGCACTCAGTGGATGCGCGTGGCCGACGACCCAAACAGGTGAGATCCCAAAGCAGACATGTCAGGGCAATCAGTGACTGAATAAATCATAATGAAGGCTGAAACAGGGTTTCAATGCTCTTTGAGGTCCATGAAAGGACAAACACCCCCTCAGCTCCGATCTTCTGCCTCTTTTATTCAGCCGCGCATCACCGTGGTAAAGTTAGTTTTACAAAGGCCGTTAGACATTCGAGCTTTGTGGCTTCAGCGGTGTGTTCCTCTCATTTGATCCGATGCCGGCAGTCTGATTTCGGTCAACCAAACTCAAAGGAGAGGAATACAGTGCTGAAGCCACGGAGCTTGAACGTCCAATGTCCAATGTAAAACTAACTTTACCACGGTCCGCGTGTCCACCGACCGTTGATAATTATAAGTAGTCAAAGCTTAATAAAAAATATTGGGGGGGGGGGGGGTCAGGTTCAGACCTGTAATTACTGTTAATTTGTCGGGTCGGGTGGGGTTCGGAAATGATGGCTATGGGCTGGGGTCGGGTCGGATCAGATTTTTTGGTCCGAAATCCACTCTACTATGAGTGGGTCACTGCTACTGATCACATTCTTCTAGTACAGAGGGGGGACATGATTCTGGGTGTAAAGGAAATGCTCTGAATGGTTTAAATCATATTTATCTGATAGAGTCCAGCTTGCTTGCATTTTAATTTTCTTCATAAATCAGAGTTAGTCATGGAGTTTCTCAGGGTTCAGTGCTTGGACCAAAATATACAGTATATATAATATTCTATAGACGGATTATCAGTCAACGTCACTTCCTGGTATACTGCGCATGTCTGCTGCAGTAAGAAACCGCAATCATGTCTTGTTGTGCTGTAGGTTGCACCAACCGTTTTGATAAAAACAATAAAATGCGAAAGTTTTACAGAATTCCATCAACTCGCACCCCTTTCAAGGCTAACAGGAGATGTCTTTGGTTGCAAGCCATCAGAAGAAGCGATCGGAACAAGCAGATGATTAAAAATGCAACAGTCTGCAGCGAGCACTTCATATCAGTTAGCGCTGGCCAACCGTGTGCTGTTTTCATTAACGTCAGTCACTGGAATACACTTTATTTGTACAGGAGTGGCCTCTGAAGACTTTGACAGTCCTGACTTTGTCATGTCCATCTTCTCCTACTCTACAAATTCTGGCAAAGACAGAAATGGAAAATTAGAGCGGTAAATAGAGGGATACTGAACTGAGGCTGTAATAAACCTGCGTTTAACAAAGTAAAGTGATGCTTTCCTGCTGTACCTAATGATTGTTCTCTTCTGTGAGTCTCAGCTACAAGAGAAAAAGACAAAGGGATGAAACCCCCAGCAGATGTCCAAACAATGGACCATATTGGCCATCCTCATGAAAACTGCGTTTAGGGCTCACCAATAAGGATATTATGTTCAGATTTAATGTTACTGAATGTGACATTTTCAACATTTTGAGAAGTTGGTTGGCTCCCTGTTATGTCTCAGACTTTGAAAGCTCTAATCTATCTATTAGATGACATTGTAATTGTGTGTGCAGCGTTAACAAACATTTGGGACTGTATAGTCCTTAGAAAATAAACTGTAAATGTCTTGTTGAAGTATTCAAGAGTTAAGGATGCATCAAAAACTTTTTATTTCTTGTTTGTACATAAGTAATGTCAATAAAAAATAACGACAAAATAACCATTTCCTAGAGTTTCTAAAATAGACTAGGAAGAAGAGATTTTTATGATCAAGCTCCACTACTGTTGAACAATCTTTCAGTTTGCCCATGAAACTGACATCCTGTATACTTTTAAGACTAAGCCGAAGAGTCTCCTTTTTGCTTGATCTTTTAAGAGTTTTTCCTTTCCACTGTATGTTTTGTGCTTGCTCAGGATGGGAGACTGCAACAAAGTGAAGATTCAACACAATCTGCTGCTTCCTTAGATTGATAACTTTTACATTGCCTTTTGTATGTATATGAATGCTTTTGTACAGTGCCCTGAGACAACTTCTGTTGTGTTGTCTTGGTGCTATAGAAATAAACAAGATAAAATTGTTCTGGTGGTTATAGTAATTTGCAGAATCGAGTCCATACATGATGATCATGTACTGACTAGACTTCTCCTGCAAATTATACATATACATACAGTCTATCTATCTATCTATCTATCTATCTATCTATCTATCTATCTATCT